CCTAGCGTGAGATCGATAGATGTTGAAGCAGCGCTAGAGACGACGACGAGAAAAAGCCGCGACTTACGTTCGGCGCCCCTGAGCCAACAACACGTGCGTCTTCTACCTCCCCTGCCACCACCACCGCAATCACCGCAATCGTCGACGACACCAGCGTCACACCTCAAGCCTCCCGCCGGTCCTTCGAGCGTAGCGACACAACCTCAACGGCAGCAGCGACAACAGCAACAGCAACATCAGCAGTTAAAACTTCAACAGCAGAAAGATTCGTCGAAACACGAGGAGCAGTCACTGCTGACAGGTAGTCGTATAGGCGAGGAGAGAGGGGAAAAGGAAAAATCGAACCTTCAAAGCGAAGGGGAAGGAGGAAAGAGAGCATTCACGCCATTTTTGTTCTCATTAGAGACTTCTTGTACAGCAGATTTGCCTGAACAAACTAACCAACTGCACACGTGCGCACAAACATGTGACCGAGAGCCTCCTATCCTCCATACAGATCAGTCTCAGTCACTTCTCAGAACCGACAGCAACACAAGAAATGTTAAAGACAATAGCGAAGGTCGGCAGGCGTGGAGGAGTGAGGACTTACTAACCACATCTGGTGGAAACTCTTCTGACCACCATGAACGTCTCGTCAACAAAAGTGGCGGTGGTCTCGCTTCCTGTCACGTGCCGGGATCCGAACCCCAGCTCTCTGGTGCACGGTCCCTCTCACCGCGCTACCGCAAAAAGTGCCGACGTCAGAGGCGTGTAGAGTCGCCACCTGACGAAGATCACGATTTGGGTCTGAGAGTACCCGGAGATCTCAGTGATTCCTGCCCGGAGGTCTTCGCCAAAGGAAAGCAGCAAAACTGTGTCTTCCATATAGGGGATTCCCCGCTCCCTATTCGAATTCCCGGAGTGAATAGTGCTCGTGTTGGGAACCCTGTTACTGTCAGCTCGTGTAAACAAAACGGAGTACCAAGTAGTCTATGGCTAAGTGGAGGTGCACCATCTCTGGTAAAGTGTGATAAGGATTCTGAAGCTGTCGACGATCATAGTAGCAACACCAATTGCAATAGTAAAAACAACAACAGCAGCAACAGTAGCAGCAGCAACAGCATCAACAGTAGCAGCAGCAACAAGCAAACTAGAGTAAGTGGTGGTAGTCACAGCTACCGCAAAGGGAAGGTCGCAGGTAAGACAAATCTTATCAGTAACTACGCCAGTAAATCTCTCACACACATCGGTGAATTAGAGACTCAAAATAAAGTACTCTTTGCTTCTGCGCGGAAAATACAGAAACATCAGCAACAACAACAAAAGAAAGACAATCAACAACAACAACAACAACAACAACAACAACAACAACAACAACAACAGCAGCAGCAGCAAAGTCACCACCACCACCACAACGACAGCGATAGCGACACCAACAACGCCCACCAACGACAAAGACAACAACATCAGCCCCACGATAACAGGGAGGGACAAAGAGATAACGGCCACGATGAGGCGGTGGTGTCGGCGGGCAGCCCTTCTCGGCCACCCCCACCGCCCCAAACACCCCCAACATCAGCAGCAGCAGCAGCAGCAGCAGCAGCAACAGATTGCGGTCAGAGTAAACCTACCGGGCGGCGTCTGGTCCGTCGCGGGATTGGAATGTTCCCTAGCTCCAATTGGAGACGACTAAGGAACACACTCAAAGCTGCCAATGAGATGCAAGGTCCGAAGAAGCCCAAACATCCGCTCACCAGGGAAGATTCCTTTCTGCGGAAATTCTCCACAAGAAACCATCAGGTAAGTTGGGCTTCACTATAATAGTGTTATTATTATCTTCTTTTTCTTTTACCCATATCCGTACGTCGTGTTTTACTATCATACCCTCTGTGCCACCACTTTTCAAAGAGGAAATTTACTCGTTAATCCGATTTGTACGCTTTGCATAGCAGTCTGTCAACATGATTTTTTGAGAAATACTGGAAGTTTCAAAGAGATCTGCGTACTAGAAGTATTGTAAAATGTGAAGCATACAACCACGAGGGTACCAAATGACCCAAGAGCGTACGGATAGGGTTAACGTCCTTTAACACTGGTTTTGGTTGGCTTTTTAAAATATCGATTCGGTTGTTTTGGCTTTGTTTGTTTTTTTGCATTGTTTTTGCTTTGTTTTGTTTTGTTTTTGGTGTGTTTGTTTTTTTCTGCTTTTTTTTTTTTTACGGAACTTACTTTTTTCAGCCCTTCAGCTTTAAATAATATTAGGTTTATTTGTATCTTATTTTTTAAATGTTAGCTTCATTTTACTCAGCTGTTGCTGTTTTTCCTCTTTCAGAAGGAGTATAAAGGCTATATTACGTAATGCAATTCCTTTCCTTTCTTGTTAATTGATATCTATATCTGGGTTTCCTTTGTGTTTTTATTTGTATGTATTTTATTTGTTAAACAACCCTTCCCTTTCACTGAAGAGACGACCGCTGGTTTCTTTCGATGTTATTTCCCATAAGTTTTTTTCCCTCGTTCTTTGTTTGTTCGTTCGTTCGTTCATTTGTTTGTTTGTTTGTTGGTTGGTTTGCTTGTTCGTTTGTTTATCTCTTTCGTTCATTAATTCATTCTTTACTTATTAATTTATTTCCTTTTTTTTTCTTTTTTCGTTATTTTCTTTATCAATTTTCTTATTTATCTCTTTTCAAAATACATTTTCGTGGACGGGTTGAAGTGTGATGATCATAGTTTGTGCGTTCTACACAGATGCAGTTCTACCACTTGAATAACACTTATATCCCTGCCCAAGTAAATGTGCATCTATCATCGCTGAACATAGTCCCCTCGATTCTTATTTTCTTAGCCCGAAGTCTTTTTTTTTTATAGTACTGGGAGAAGGGATCCGCTTTCAAAAGAACGTGTTTGTGTGAGGTCGGGCGTTTAACTTACATACACACACACACACACACACACACACACACACA